TTAGTAGTAATATCATGAAAAAGGTACAATAAATTAAGTCTTAAGACATTTTGTTGGGTTATTAACAACACCACACATAAAAGGAAGTTTGTTAAATAAATGAGAGAAATCAAAAATTAAAATCTTGGCAGTATATGAATAAATTAATAAAAGTCAAAGGTCTCTTTTATGTGATGAAAATAGTCGATAGGGTTCCTTGACAACAAATATCTTTGAGAGTATAAACAATGTGATGTGATGAGAAATACAGTTACCAATTAGGATGTATATTGACCTTACATTCAATAGAAATGTGTATTTTTTTTATAATGCTAGTGAGATTCTTTAATCAGCTACAATACACATCTACCATCATGCATGTCATGTATCTTTGTCAAATGATAAACCCATGCACAAAGCCATAAATTAACCGAGTTTAACTATAATGAAGCCGTCTAAAAAAGTATCACTAATTTATAGACAAATGTAACTAGAGGATAACACATAATGTCCATTATTTTCAACATACATGCACAGGTGGTAAGTATAAAATGGAAATATTTCCATGTTCACGTGGTATTCTAGTTTGTCAGCATATAATGGATGATCCTATCTCCACTGTGAGTAATATGTACACGACTATGACATATAGATGACAATATCATCATGTTTTTCCTTCACTTTCAAACGATGATTATTGAATAGAGTTAAATTGTTTGATGTTGACCCTCTTAAGGTTTAAGCATTGATACCAATTTGTTATGCAGATACATACAAACAAACACACACACACATAAACATGTCTTCTTAGCTATGAAGAAAACATATGAAACACGATTCTTGAATTTACACGTCCATTTTGAATTGTTCATGTCCATTTTGGCTTATGGTTTCTTACCTTCAAATGAAAATAATAGAGAGAGAAAATGAGAATTATGGAGTACTGAAGATTGAGTTGGTGAAAGCACAAATATATTTTAGATTGTTCCTTATCTATCAAATGTTTAAGTACATAATCTCCCTATTCTAATAAATGAATAGGTTTATTCTCCTATTGACATGTGTCATAATATTAGAACTCATCATTAATATTATATGTTCCTTATCATGTCACTTGTCAACCTATTAATTATCCATTTTAAATTTCAAAATTTTAATTTGTCACTCTAATTACATTAAATTAATAATTGATTCTCCACTTTAAACTTTAAACTTTAAATTTTAAATTTTTTAAATTTAATTATATTAAATTAATAACATTATATTAAAAAATAAAATAAAATCAATACAGATTATAAGATGATATAATTTCACATATTTGTTTAAATCAACGATTATAATTTTATATAACTAAAAAAATATCTCTTAAGTAATAATTTATTTAAAACAACTGATTAATAATTTTAAATTTTATTATGAAAATTCAATTAGTTTTATAACCATGGTTCTCACGGGTTATAAACTTGTTAAGTATTAAAGTAGTTATATAAGTCATTGTCGAGTATATTATTTAATAGAATGCTAATCATGTTCAATATGTACCGATCTATTTACGTTATTTTATTTCATTGTTGAATCGTACCAAAACTCTATTACAATTTAAAAATCATTTTCGATCTCATGGACCCCATTCTCTACTTCTTCGACCACCCAGGACCTAATAGATTTTGGATCTCTCACACACACACTCATACATGGAATGATTTCCTATCGTGGAATAGTATGATACCTTTCATGATGCATATATTAAATAGACTTAACAATTTATTTGATTCGATTTAAATAAGTTGAACTTATCTTGTTTTATGTTGACGTGTCCACTCCACCACAAGCCACCTAGTTCATTGACCTTTGAGTGTTCTTCTCGGCCCTAAATCAGTATACAAGCAATGATTTTGTGCTTTACCCAAGGTATTCAACATTAATTCGAGCATATCTTGTGGAATATTACTCCTTACATCAAGGTTGTCAAGAACTGTCATCATTATTATATAATATAAACTGCATACTGAAACATCAAGCGGGGATAGCTCAGTTGGGAGAGCGTCAGACTGAAGATCTGAAGGTCAGGTGTTCGATCCACCTTCACCGCATTTTAATTTTCATTTTTAAGAGCATATAAAGAACCAATAAACCCATAAATCTTTTTGGGGAGTTCCCCGAATCCCCAATTGCCGCCCCTCATTCGAATCCATAGTCTTTCTCTCGTAGCTGAGGTAAATCTTTCATTTTTCTGTGTCAAAACCTACACTTAATTCGTTCAATGTTTTCACAGACTCATGATCTCCAGCTGTTTGATATATTTTTTTTTGCTTGTAAGAACAAAAACCCTACAACACGCGAAATCTCCATTATTTGTGTTGTTCTTCGGAAATTTCCTTTCATTTCCGGCAACGCTATATCGAAATTCATATCAATCATGTTATACTCATCATACTCTATCCATCCATGATTCTACATTCTTCAAACAGTTACTGATTTTGGGTTTTGATTGCAGTCGAGTTCTATACTGATACATCTAAAATGGAGGCTGAAAGGTAATACTTTCTTTTACCAATTGTTCTTCCTCACAAAACAATTTCTACCAATTCGCCTGATTCCTTTTTACATCTTCATGCGCTGATTTCGCTAATTCTGGGTTCTAGGTTGAATTCGCCACAGACGTCAGCTGTTCTATTTGAAGTTATGGGCTATCAACTGCAGTTTTCTCAGGTATTCAACTGGCTAATGGACTGTAGTTAACATTTGAATGTGTTGGTATAGCTTCATAAAATTTGTCTGTTTGTTTGAAAGGATCCCAATTCTAAGCATTTAGGAACAACAGTTTGGGATGCTTCAATGGTGTTGGTGAAATATCTGGTAACATTCATAATCCCTTTTAACACCTAGCAGAATATTCTTGTCCAAATTCAAAATTTTAAATGTTTAAATGATCATATTCGTATCAATCGGGTGTTAATTTTTTTTTTTTTTTTATGTGGTAGGAGAAAAATTGCAGAAAAGGAAGGTTTTCCCCTTCCAAACTAAAAGGAAAACGTGTTATTGAACTTGGGGCAGGTTGTGGGGTTGCAGGTTTTGGTGAGAACTCATATTATTTTATGTATCAAATATTTAAAAATTAAAAAAATAAAAAATAAATGAATCTTGTCAATTTGAAAATTTTATGTGATGTGAATCTTTCCTTTTTAGGCATGGCATTACTTGGATGTGATGTTGTTTCAACAGACGAAGTTGAAGTTTTGCCTCTTTTAATGCGAAATATTGAACGTAATATTTCTAGGATCACACAAATGAATCCTGACGCAGGTTCTTGAATTTTTATTCCTTTTCAATAGAAAGTCTGTTCTGTACTGTCATGTCCTGTATCTGTACTTTTACCTGACACTGTGATTTCATGCTTTCAAAGACTCGATTGGATCCATGATGGCTGCAGAGCTAAGTTGGGGAAACAAAGATCATATACGGGCGCTTGATCCGCCCTTTGACTACATTATTGGCACTGATGTTGTAAGAATAAAAATATATTTTTAACAAATTACTAAAAATAACAAATTACTATCATGGGTAAAAAGAGTAAAATTGCCTAATTTTTATTTTTAGTTTTATAAAATCTAGATTTATGTGATAATATTTCTATATTTATGTTACAAGGTATACGCCGAGCATCTTTTGGAGCCTCTGCTACAAACAATGCTTGCATTGTCGGGACCCAAAACCACAATTTTGGTAAATAATCAGTCGACAACATTTAATCATTTGCTAATTTTGTTTTTATGCACAAATATATAATCACACTCTTGTAGATTGGTTATGAAATTCGTTCGACAAATGTTCATGAACAAATGATTCAATTATGGAAGAAGCATTTCGAGGTTAAAATAGTGCCGAAATCGAAGGTAATTAGGAATTTAGTTTTTAACAATTAAATCAATGTCAAGATGTTCATTGTTATCAAGAAATTGTTTTTTTTTTAATTAAATTCATAGATGGATGTTAAGTACAATCATCCAAGCATACAACTTTACATCATGACTTTAAAGACTCCAGAAGGAAGCGTAAATCTTGAAGATGAAGCCGATACAAGTAAGAGTAATGGTAGCAGTAGCAGTAACAGTAACAGTAACAGTAAGATAGTGGAAGATGAAGGTGATGATGAATTACCGACAGAACCCCACGATGGAAGTTTGAGTGAATGGGAAGCTAGAAGATATGGATCCATGGCTGCTCGCCTTCTTCGAGACATCAAGATAACTTGATTTCTTGTTGTTTTCTAATTGAATTCTTAGGGAATTTCAACTAAATGCTTAAAGTTTAGTGTTGTTATACACAAAGTTGAAAAGATTCATGTTTCCACAAGGCTTGATGACCTATGATCATCACCTTTCATTAGAATCCTAGTTTTCTCAATTTCGTTATCTTTGGATTATAAGATGAAATTCAGTTGATGTAACTATTAGAAGATAAGAACGGGAGCATATATATCATTAATACGCTTTCACTTTACATTAGCTACACAACACTTTTCAAGGGAATAATTTATTAACTTGTTGGATTAACTCAACATTTTGATTTCCTCCACGATGAGTTTGAGGATGTTTTTCTTCCTCAAAATGATCTTCTTAAGCTCCCGATTTTATGGCTTTAGTGTGAGAAAAGGTTAGGAAAAAAATAACTAACACTTAGGCTTTAATGTGCTTAAAAAACCCCACAACAACCCATCATCATGAGAAAACTCCCAAACAAACTAGAACTCATACTTTGTCCTTCACAACCTTTGTTTCAATGTATTTGAATTTCCTATCCATATAAAAACATTTCTAGAAACTTTTCATGTGTAGTCTTTGTTCCATTTAGGCAATCTACTTTGATTCTAAGTACTTTCTTTCACTATGTATTTCATCCACACAAGTATTCCTTTCGAACAAATCAAGTACATCAAGAAAGTTTCATTGCCTTGTCATTCTTACTTTAATTTGGATAGATATGAATTGCATATTCCTTAGTCCTTGTCATAACAAACTTCATTCTTTTTATTCAACTTTCAAGCGTTACAAGAGTTTCATGCTTCTATCAAGTTCTTAAACACAACACTCGCAACATATAGGCATCATGTACATAATAAAATTACTTCAAGTGTTATATAATCACTTTTACTAAATTGCCATATGTAGGCCTTACAAAAGTTTCATGCTTCTATCAAGCTCTAAAACTACCTCTTGACAACTCAATCACTTCATTTCACACTTCGAGATCCAAGTATGGTATTCACCCAATTGGACATTGCAATTTACATTCCTTTCAAATTCAAGACTCCATTACATAGTCATGTCTTTGAACAACCCAAACTCACTCTAGAATACTAATAATATCCAATACCCAATGTACAACTCCTTAAAACACACTTCCACTATATGAAGTTGCTTGCATACTTATTTCTTCATCTTCTAAACTAAAAGTAAGACTTATCATTCTCATAATCAAGAAACTAATCAAGCTTTATTTTTTTCACTCCATAGTGAACAACAAATACAATCACCCGAGTATAGTATACCCCTTTACATTATAAAGATCTCAGAAGGAAGCACGTATCTTGATCCACTAATCGAAAATGGTACAACATATTGTTGGTGAAAAATACAACAAATGCAAAGTTTACATAAAGAATGCTCATTTGTGTTGAAATTACATCAAGATGAACTATATTGAAGAAACACGGGTGCGATTATTCACAATCTGATGCAAAATTTGACTTCCATTAAAGTTGATAACAGAGCTTGAATTTGAGGTAGTGTTACTCTTAATGTTCCCAAGTATAGAAACTGTATCAACATAAACTCCAAAATAAGCAACCAAAGGTTCTGCCCTAGATTTATCAATTACAAGCCTTAGTCTCTGAGTTTTCACATTTGGGAATCTTAAAATTCTCCTGTATCCCACAGTTGACCCAGTCAACACTTCCTGCCATTCGCCATCTTCATTAACAACATCTACATGAAACTTAACAATCCTCTGGCCCATTTGAATTGGTTCTTGAATTTGTATAACATTAAAGCTCACAGATTCTTGAAAATCAAGATATATAATCCAGTGGGTTTGATTCTTTTTAGGAGCCCAGTAAGTAAAAATCCCTTCTTCCAAGATAGAATTTGAGTTGAACTGTGTGTTATTAGAACCAGAACCACCGCGAGTGGTGCTGGCTGTAACAATGGCGGATTTTGCTAGGTTTTGAGAGAAAATCGAGGCTCTGAGGTTGGAAAACTCTTGAAGAACTTTAATGTCTTGTTCGGATATGAGACCTGAAGAATTTGGTGGAACATTTAGTAGTAGAAGACAGTTTCGCCCTACTGAATTGTAGTATAATTCGAGAAGATTTGTTGCGGATTTAGGAAGCTCGGATTCATGCCAGAACCACCCTGGCCTGATTGAAACATCGCATTCTGGAGGTACCCAGTCGTGCCCTAGCGGATCTCCGCCTTGTGAGTACCTGTTAGATCCACCGGAATACCCGATCAAACCATTTAGAGATACAGATTGTAAGTGTAGAATGAGGTTTTTGGAAGAAATGAAACTGACTTGGTATCTGTGCCGCCAATCGCGGCGTTGCTCCGGTTGAAAAGCGACCAACAGGTGGTGCCTGAGAAGCCTTCCTCGTCGCCGGACCATCTGACGTCTGGACCAGCATCGGAGAAGATGACGGAGCTAGGTTGCAGTTGGTGGATCAGGCTGAACCAATTCTCGAAGAAATACTCCATGTCTTTCTCTCCTTCCCCTTTAGCACCATCTAGCCAGACTTCCTTTACGTTTCCATATCTGTAATCGGAGTTGACATTCAAGAAGATGAACGGATAAGTAAGAAATTCGGGGAAGCTTGATTACCTAGTGAGCAATTCAGTCATTTGAGCCATGTAATATTCATTGTATTCTAGGGTTTTTCCGTAAGTAGGTTCATGTCTATCCCATGGAGAAAGATAAAGACCTAATTGAATCTCAGCTTCTTGAGCAGCTTTAGCTAATTCACCGACTACATCGCCTTTACCACCTCTCCATGGACTCGATTTCACAGAGTAATCGGTGTAATCGGAGGGCCATAAGCAAAACCCATCGTGGTGTTTGGCTGTAAGAATGACGCGAGAAAACCCGTTTTCCTTAGCGACGGCGACCCATTGGGTGGCGTTTAGGCCGGTGGGGTTGAAGACGGAGGGATCCGCGTGGCCGGTGCCCCATTCGGAGTCGGTGAAAGTGTTGGTTCCGAAATGGAGGAAGAGTGCCATTTCTGAGAGCTGCCATGAGAGCTGCTGTGAACTTGGTAAAGGTAAGATTGGAATTGGTGAAGGTGTGGGGAAAGAAGTGGTAAGGGTGGAGTGAGAGAGGAGGAGGACGATGATGAAGATTAATGGGTTGTTTGAAATGGATCGGGTAATCGGGTTATGAAGATGATGATCGAGTTCGTTGAGTAAAACTTCCATTGTTGTTGCTTCTGTTAACTGTTTGTTGTGACTTTGACCAATAAACGAATAACTGGTTCTTATTTCTGAAGTCATTATACTTCAATTGCACAATAACTTAAACTTTAACTTATGAGTAATTTGCACATGTTATTCTCATAATTAATTAATCTAGTGCTTTTCTCATGCTAAATTAATTATTATGTGAATTGGAATTGTATAAATATAATTAAATATACGTGGTCCATGAGCATAATTGCTTATATATCACTCTTCATTATTCACTATGTTAATTGAAGTCGCACTAGCAAAGCCTTGTTAGACCAATTCAGTATTTGACTTAATTATTTATAACGATATAATCTGGTATATTCATAATCAACATAAGTTATGTAAAGAGGAAAAAATAGATTAATTATATCGCCAAAAAAAAAAAAAATAGAGGAAAAAAAGTATATGTAAGAAGTAATTAACAAATAACATTAACTAAAATGCGACTAAACACATTAAACACTACTAGAAGCTTATATTAAGATGTAATACAATTTTATGACATAAGCATATTAATCATCTCCCATTCATCACAATCTAAAATCCATACATACAGTTTTGCTTAAAAGCATCGCTCATTCAAAATAAATACATACACCTTTTAAACCATTTCCCATTCTTGCTTAGATTATCTCTTCATAACAGAATCCTTGCTGCAACTTAACGATGAAGTTAAATAGTGAACATAGATATTTCTAAAGGTGAGACCATATGTGATAAAAAAAAAAAAAAAACTGAAATTACTAAATTGTGAACATATTTTCGTCATATTCATAAGATAACCTTTTAAAACATATTCTGATGCAATTGAAAAGCTCAAATAAACATTGAGATTGAGTTGAAATTATACATCATAATAACTCTTGAAGATACCGATGCAATTGGAAAGCTCAGATATACATTGAGCTTGAGTTGAAATTGAATCATCTTGAACTTTATATCCAAATCAAATGTGATCTCCACTTCATTGAAGAGAAAGTAAAATCAAATCATCCCTAACTCAACTGAAAGATAACCTAATGTTATGAAAGCAATATTTCAAACAGAATTAATAGCCTACTTGCAAAACCAAGAGTGATATATATATATATATATATATATATATATATATATATATATATATATATATATATATATATATATATATATATATATATATATATATATATATATATATAAAATAGAACACAATATATCAGTAATATCATATATCATATATCAGATTTAAGAAACGATTCTTTTTTTACACACCAACCTATATCACCTTATCAACACACCAATCTATTTTGACCATTTATACTCTAGTCTAATATACTTTCTAGTCAATACACATTGTTTTATGAAAAAATGATTTTCTTTCGCATATGTTCTCCCTCTCTCTCTCTCTCTCTCTCTCTATATATATATATATATATATATATATATATATATATATATATATATATATATATATATATATATATATATATAACTCTTCCGTGATGAACTGTTGGCGTCAGCCCTATATTTGTCTCTGTAGACAGGGTAGAAAGGGGGCTCCGCGGGAAGAGGATTGTATCGTGAGAGAAGCAAAGATGTCAACCCTAGACTAGCCCTACTCCATCTTGGCTATCTTGAGCTTATTCATAAGCTTTTCATTTTCTGCTTACTACTAGGACTTCCAAATTACTACGCCGGGTCTCATAGCCCCTGTGACCTTCACTTCACAGCTTGATTAATGAACTGTCTCCTAACACCGCGACGGGGACCGGTAGAAGCAGACACAAATCGACTCACTACATGAACTGCATAAGACTTCTGTGTACCACTAGTGCCACAAAGGCTTTTGGTGGTCTTATTGGCGCAACGAAAGCACTTTTTCACTCTTTCATATACTAGGGGATTTCACTTGGAAAAGTGGTAAGTAAACCACATGCTCCACCGCTCTTTCAAATATACAACATGGATTCTGGCAATGCAATGTAGTTGGACTCTCATATCGATCCGAATGAATCATCATTTCCACTGAGGTAAATCGTTGTTTGTTAGGTAAGAGGATAGCAAGTTACAAACTCTGTTTCGGTAGGCCATGAATCTCTATTACCATGAATTTCATAAATAAAGTAGTGAATTGTGGGGTTACCATTATCCTTTTTGTAGTGACGAATCTTGTATGTGTTCCTAAAAAAAGAAAAAAATATAAAATTGTGCAATTTTAAGTCCACTTCAACCTCATAGCTTAACCAAACATATGTTAGCATATTTCATGTTTTTATCAATTGTGCATGTAATCATAAATGTGATAGTTAGTTTAGAATTTTTGTGAGTTAGACATTTTCAAATTAATCTAAAAATTAGTTAACATCTTTTTAATTTCAAAATGACAATAGACTAAGACGTAAAACATTTTTTTTAATATTAAAGTAGTAAAATAATGGACATGTGATTGCTTTGAGTCTAGCTCAATGATCATGATAAACATTAATAGCAAAAAAAAATAACAAAAGTTCAAAAAAAAGTATATTAGAAAAAAATAAAAGAAATTTAAAAATTGAAAACTTTGGAAAAACATTAAAATTTGAAACTAGGCTCTGTAACAATAGGCTCTCTAACATTTTTTCATAAACATCCGTCCGTAACCGAATAACAAATATGTATAAGTCGCGTTTAGTATTTATAAGCGACTTAAACATATAGAAAGATCTTTATGACTATAGATAATTAATTATTGTTGATTTTTGTTTCGGATTTTGTTATGTAATTTTTAAAAATTTTAAAAATGATGAAGATTTGTTCAAAATTTATTTTTCTTATAATGTTATTTTATAATATCAATGATATTAGGTTGATGAAAATTTATTTGTAATTTTATTTATTTATAATTTTAATTATATTATTATATTATAAAAAATATTATTATTGTTTTTTATCTTAATAGAAAAACAAATTTAAAATTGATCTTACTATTGACACACTAACCTACACCATCCTCATATAATGTTTTTTATAGCTTATTAATAATATTATAAATAAATAAAAAAGTCAATAAAAATAAATTAGTGAAGTGATAATATTTTTGAGAGTTCATCATTGGAAATGCTTTTAGGCTTATCTTTTAAGTCATCATTATGATATCATTTAGGTTGTGTTTGATATTCATCTGACCGAGTCAAGTCAGACATTTTTGGCTGACTCGGTTTGATAAGTCAATTTTATGCGTCTGACTCGGAAGGTCTAATCTGACTCGGTAAGAATATGAAAATTGGCTGACTGAGAATGAGAGAGGCGTCTTCCAGTTGTGCCCTTTCCCTACAGCTCCTCTTTCAACGCCTCCATAGAAACGCTTCTTCTCCCGCAACCAGCAACAACCGTCGACGATTTCTGCCTCCGCCACCCAACGAATGACGCCTTCTGCCTCTTTTCATCAGGTAAAGCTTTCATGTTTGGTGATTTTGCTATTTCCGAGTTTTAATATATTTGTTCTACCTTTTGATCAGTGGCTATGAAAGAACCACAATTAAACAAATAAAAAGCAATAAAATCCTAATCATATGATGAAACACTTCCAACAAGAATGAACAACAGAAAAACTTACAATCGGAATTCTAATTGTGATGTTGTAATATTTCAGACTTAAGAGTCATGATTATTAGAAAGGGATAATCGGAGAACGGCGCTTTGATTGTGAGGAGGGCGCTCACTGAATTTATAGATAATGAAATAATCATTCACAGGTAAAGCTTTCATGTTTCAATTGATTTTCCTGTTGAATGTCTGGGTTCTGATTTTAAAATCCACCCACCGATCACTCCATTAATTTTGCTTTTTTATCTTCTAGAGTTTGGTTATTGGCTCAAAGTTCCTATCTGCTTGGGTTTTTCTTCCACATTTTGTGTGTAAACACTTTTGAGTTTTGAACCAGGTTTTTATTCTGAAAATGATATAATTTATAGGAATTTATTGAGTTTTTTTTTTTAAATTATTTTCTTGAAGTATTTAAAATGTGTAGTTTATAAAGATTTTCAGTTTTTTCTAACACTGTTTATTGTTTTTTGCTTAAGTGATTCGGTTTCAAGTGTGGTTGGTGCTAACTTTAGTACTCATATCATCAATGTTAACACGGGGGAGGTAAATTGACTATTTTACCCTTATGCTCTTTTGTGAAAAATTATATATGATAATTGTGCAAATGCAACATTGTTCTTGAATAATTCTTGATTATTTGTGTTCACAAAATTTTCTTTACTTTTGGGTTTATTTTGGATGTGAGAATGAAGGTTATATCAATTTCTCAACAAGGACCTGTGCAATATGCATTTTATCAACAAATGGTGTCATTTCTAGTGCTACCCTTCGACAACCTGACCTTTGGTGGTACTTTGACCTATGAGGTAATAATTGGACATGATTTTTACAAAATATAGAATGAATAATGATATCAAGAAAAAGTATAACAAACTTATAAGTTTGTGATGATTTAAATTAATTTGCATGACAACTTTTATTTGGATTTTTAAATGATTTGTGTAATTTACATTTTGTATGATAGTTTGTATGTTTTTATAATTATCCAGGAACTTCAAACATCACTGTATACAACATTAGGGTAAAATGGTCATTTTTCAAGATAATTGGTGGATGTTTGTTCAATTCTTGCTTAATATTGTTCTCTGTTCTTTGGATCATTAGATTCTTTTGTTTTCGTTGTAGATGGTTGTTTTGTATGCTTTGTTTCCATCTTCCTGTTGGTGTTTGTTGATTATTAGCGTCTGAGCCGTTCAAAAAAAAAAAAAAAACTTGTCACCTACATGCTGCCCTCTTTCCTGTAACAAAGTATTTGGCCTTAAAATTAAAACTTATAAGCCAATGGTTAATTTCAAAGTGTGATGTTACACGTTGCATATTTTTTCTATGTTCAATGTTACATGTGTCAAGTTAAAACGATTCCTTTTATTTTATTTGAATTTTTAAAGGATTTGTGTGTAATTTACATTTAAAGGGTAAAATGATCATTTTTTATTAGTCAGCACATTCAGTCAGATGTACAATCAAACAACATGATTTCTTACTCAGTCAGAATTTCTTACCCAGACAGACCTTTCTCAGTCAGCACTTTCTCAATCGGAAACTATCAAACGGGACCTAATCATTTTTACTTCTTTTGATATTATTTTATTATAACTTAATCATTTCATTAAATTAATTATTTAATTATTATATTATTCTACTAACTTTATTATTATTTTTGAACTTTTAAAATTATTTACTTATAAAATAAGACAATTAATTTCATTAGATAACAATATTATAGAAAAATATATTCCAAACAAAAAAGTTTGTTATATATAAATGTCTTCGAAATAAAAAAGTTTATGAATGTTTTGATTTTTTTTTTCTCTAAAACCTCAATCTGTGACGTAGTGAATTCCCAAATCAAATTGCATCATTCAGAGAGAAACCAAAACTTATCCATTGCAAGTAGGAATCAGTAGATTCAAGACTTGAAATTACTGATATAGAAGTACTAGAAAAATCAGAAATCGATTGATAAACACTTAAAGAGAAATTGGTTCTTCTTATCTAACGACATTAAAATATATGAGTGTTTCTAGGCTTCTCCAATGAACATAAGATGGGCATGTTTCTAAGCGTCGATTGACATTTTGTTTTTCTAGGTGTCATAGATGGGCAACAATAAGGTCCTACTTTTTGAGTTGTTTTTGCATACAAGCTACCCTTTGAAGTGTTGTTATTCACACCTCATATAACACCCCATTTACTAAATAAATAAATAGATAAAAATTTATATGAGTTGTAACCCTTAAATCCATAATTTTAGTGGGGTGTTGGTTTTTGGAACTGAGTGTTACAATTTTAGAAGTCAGAGGGTTAAAAGTGTAAGCTCTATATTGTTTTTGTAAGTATTTAATTATAAAGTCAGGGACTAAATGATAACTTATGGGACTTCATTTGAAAAGATTAACTATACACTCAAACATAAACTTTTCAACAAATATTTAAATCTTTAACATATATTTAATATTTTTATTAATATTTGTATTAAAATCATGTTCAACAAATATTTAAATCTTTAACATATATTTAATACTTTAATTAATACTTGCATTAAAATCATGTTCATGAAAGAGACTATGCACTCACTTGAAAAGGTGGTGAATCCGAACTTAGAAAGCGCTTCTTAAAAATAATTTTCGTCGACGAAACCTAGTATTATTACCACTAGAGTTTAGTCTATTATTTGTCAAGACTAGTTAATAGTCTAGCTATTATTACTATTATATAAGAGTTAAACAATACTTATATAACCCATAATAATAGCTCAACTACTTATTATAAGTTCCTAATAACGTTACTATAATTAAATAAACGATATATTAAAAATAGTGTAGGCGTAGCTCACTTACAGCGGGTTTTATAGAAAATCGGGCTTTGCTTGGAGCAGCGTTCCCGAGCCGAAAAGCTCTTCTTCTCGGAGCAGTCGAGCACTCTGGGGCTTCCGCCTCGTGCTAGGGAGGTTCCCTAGGCTTTTCCGGGGGGGGGGGGGGGGGGGGTTTCGGGGTTAGAGAGACAGTCAAAAGAAGAAAGAATGGGAAAGGTATGAAGAAAATGAGGGTGAGAGAGGTTCTATTTTATAGGGTGAAAATGGCTAAACTTGGTGCCACATGTCACCATCTAGTGGCAAGACTTGGAAAGAAAGCAATGACCAAGATTGTGCCACATCACCCATTTTCGCACAGCACACTTCCGACTTTTAAAATCCGTAACTTTCACATACGACCTTTGTTTTTGACGTTCTTTATATCCATGCGTAGGTAAAAATAAGATCTACAACATTCATTTTGACTCCATTGTATAATTCTCGACCGATCTTAAATTTAACAATACGATGAGATTATACTATTAAATGTCCGCGCAAAATTCATAACTTCTACATACGGACTCTGTTTTCGTCTGTATTTTTACTATTGAGTTCCTATTAATGAGATCTTCAATTCTCATTTAGGTCGTGTACGCCAAAAACCGCTCGAACTAAAATTCGAGTTTCGGTTTGTGCACTGCTATGCCAAATCTTATAAAATTCATAACTTCTTCATACGAAGTCAGATTTGGACGTTCTTTTTTGTATGTTCTCGGTTTAACATATACTACAACTTTTATTTGGATTGATAAGGCTACAAAATGTCCTTTATCAAAAATTCACTATTTACGTCTCCCGGTGTCGTGTCGTTTTTGTCGTAAAACTTCGACGGGCCATAACTTCTTCGTTATAACTCGGATTTCAGCGTTCTTTATATGTACGGAACCCTTGAGACATATTATAAAGATTGGTTAAGATTATTTATTCTAAATAATATTTTTTCAAAAAGTCGTTTTCGACCCTTATTATCTCTAAATTGACTAGCCCGAATCTACGGGCGTTACACTTATCTCCCCCTTAGGATGATTACGTCCCGGAATCATTAACGAAATAGGCTCACATGATGACTCCATACGTTTTCTCTTCAACCTAAGTAATAACCTTAACGTTTATGTTTCTTCGAACGAATATCTAACTCTAACACTTCCTGATTGCCAGCGGTGCTCGATCTTGCACTTGCTCCCTATCTGACGTTAGACTCCAAATTATGAACTTCAAGTAACAATATTGATCCTTATTGGAGACTACTTCTTCTTCTTAACAGACTTAAGATAAGTTGTTTTATTACTAAAATGGACCGATGTGTCATATTCTAATGACTTATCATCATATGTTCCTACACTTAGACTCAGGTCTCTTAGAGTCTTCCGGAACAGACTATACATTTCTTCATGTTCTAATCACATCTTAAAAGGTAGCATTTCTAGCTACAAGCAACTATCGCGATACCTCTACTGATCGCTTTAATTATCTTTTATTTCAATCTTCCGGCTTAAGTCAGATGCTACATCAAACTTGGTGCTCTGAACCACGTAACATACTTATTATAATCGGACTCAATTCGATATGACCACGAGGGTCGGAATAACAATCATCCTCTTAGTTATTACCAAAACGATGGTAACGACATATTTGAATAAAACAGTATCAATTACTAGCTTCTTGGTAACATTGTGACTTTCCCTGATCCAGACGTGAGTCTTGTGCTTCCGGTAGTATAGGCCTCTACTACCATTCACACCTACTTATACTCGTCTCAAGTATTGTCTCGCAGTTCTCCAAGTTATTATCGCAAAAACAATTTTAACACATACAAATGTGTCCAAACAATCATATAATTTTCTCTAGACTCTGTTAGGACTTCTTCCATGCGTATATTAAATCATCAATTCTGCTTCAACTCGGTTGATGGTGGAAATGTCAGACGATGGGATAACTTCATGGATTCTACCAAAAATCTTTCTTTCTTCTAATCGAAAGTGAACTTCTTCCATACTAGACGTATTATTTATTAGATGCATTCTAAAGGCAAGATATCACTCTTAAAATATCTTCCGATAGGTATCATTCACTATCGTAAGCCTTCTCGTTTCCTCCATTTACTCAGTCTGCTATGAGTCCTTATCATAACATTCTATACACAAAAGTCGGCGTTCGGTGTATCGAGACGAGAATGTAGATAGAGGAAGATTTAGACGCGTATTCCTCCGTATTACTCCAAAAAGTTACATGCTAGTTCTAATATCGTAATTAAACATTTAGAAACCTAAGCACATGAAATTTCTAGATCTGGTTGACAACATACCATAAATCCGATCAAACGATAGCATAAAGCATCACAAATCATTTAGCACATAAAAGCATTTTAGGCATCTTCCCTAATTAAGCTAGTGCTTGTGTCTATTCAGGTGTACTTCTAAAAATATATTAGACACACTCCTCACGATCATCGCTTAGCATTCTAAGTTTAAGTCAAGAAATAAATCCATTCTCTCCTAATTCTCTTAAACTAATGCTCTGATACCAACTGTGACATCCCCATTTTCACGTACATAAAAGATCGATTCTTTTTTGTTGCTTTATAAAAATCAAAGTACCTCTTTTAATAAAAATGTTGCGGAATTTGTTCCCAGTAAAACATGATAAATATGTTATCAAAGCACTTCCGAAGAAAAGTATTTTTATTCATTTTAAAACATTTGGGATGCCATCGTCAATACAGAAACATAAGCATAAACAGAACTTACATTCATCATCACTAGTGATTTATATCTCCTTAATCTCTCAGTGTAATGTGACTTCATATCAACACCTGTGATATAAATAAACTAAGTGGGTCAGGTTGGGAAACCTGATGAGTACATAGGGATTTCAATCCCACAATGTTATACCATATATATAGTTTAAAACTCACAAAATATACTGTAGCACCTGGTTCCTGGTATGTATTATTGATTATTAACTCTCCTTATGTATTGCATTTTAATCTTGGACTCGGCGTGTTGAAGGACTAACTCGCCGAGTAGAAGCAGGTCTAGACACGGGATTAGTTCTGTCTACTCGGCGAGTAGGCCCGTGGGACTCGGCGAGTAGACCCTGTCTGGACTAAAACCCTAACCCGGGTATTTGCACACTATTTAAACGATCTAACCCAGCCTCCATTTCCCCTAGCACTCCGAGAGGTCTGTAGAACGAAACCCTAGCCCTTTGTGTCCTTGTGGGTGATTTTTTTAGCATTGTGAAGGTGGTAATCTACTCTGTGAGGGGCTTCTATTCAGGTAGAAAAGTTCCTACCTTGATCTGTAGTTCATTGAACCCCC